TAATTTCGCATTTTCCATAATGACATTCTTTGTCTCCTTCTGGCTTTCCAATAGTGCATCGTCCAGTTCTCTGATCTTCTGTTGAATTTCAGCACCATCATCGCCGAACATAGGAGCTCTCATCATATTCTCTCTTTTCAGCTGTGCGTTGGCTTCGGATAGAGCGAGGTTGACGTCTTTCAATTGTTGTCGTTCACGGATGGAACCTTCTAGGACTTCGTTGTTGAATATTTCTCCTTTTGCGATAACCTCTTTTGCGACGTTTGCTTCGTATTCGTGGTGGCTCGCCCTCGCATCCGCCATTTCTTTAGCAGATACTTCAGTCTGGCATATAAACATCTCCATCCTCATGCCCACTTCCATCTCTCCCATCTCCGCTTTCGCGTTGAGTTCAGCTCCACGTGCCATAGCTAGTTGACCTCGTAGATGATCAATAACCATAGCTTCCTGATTGCTCTGATCTTGAGATGAGTGAACACTGTGTTGAAGACGTTTTTCCCTGACCTCACTGTTCCATTGTTCTTCTCTCTGGTGTTGGATCACCTCGTGCATGTTGACATTCTCATCCTGTAGCGCAATCATTCTAGCTTGTATCTGGTCAGCTATTCCAACGAAGGCTGTGTTCTCATCATGAATGGCTTTTGATCTTCTATTGATCGCCAATGAAGACTCATTCTGTTCTTGGATGTGTCCAATTGCTGCTTGAAGCTCTTGGGACATTCTGTCCTTCGTTGCTTTCACAGATTCAAGCTCTGAATGTTCTTGATGAGTTTCTTGTGCAAGCTCTTGATATCTCATGTAGATATGTTCAGCTGTCGATTCCGCCAAGCGTAGCTTGTGTTCGAGCTCTTCAATTCTTATTGTCGCTCCTTCATCCTCCTGTGTCATCTCCTGTAGATGTTCCTGCATCTTCCTGTTGTAGTCAGACATTTGCCTGAACTCCACTTCAGCCTCGTGGTGTAGTCGTGAGTATCCGGCTTGGATGCATTCATATTCTTGATGAAGAAAGTTGTATGCGTTTCTCGCCGATCTCAATTCTTCACCCAGCTGAATCTCTCTTCTTTGCTCTTTTGTTCCTCTATCATCGTCACGTCTCTTCTCTATACTCCTTCTTGGGGATCTCGCGGTAGACGTTATAGGCGATGTAGATCTTGTTGTAGCTCTCATTGATCTTCTTGGTCCTACGGGTGCAAGGTCGGTCAGATTCCGAGCCGGTGGCACGGATCTTTCCGATATTTGTGATCCAGTAGGCATAGTGATAACGTCAGCATTTGCTGATGAATCAGTACCCATTGTAGAGTCTGGTGACGAAATGGTGTTGGGACCACCAGGAGCAGCGAATGAATAGGGTTCGCTTCCATTTCCTCCTGAGCTTGACATTGCAGGTTTCTGTAATGACTAGTCTTGTTCTCGGTCTCGTGTAGCTCGTACGGCTATAAAGAGCGCGTACGGCTGATAACCTGCGAGTGGATCTTAATCAGCGTAGTTTGAAGCTATCACTGACGGTCCATAAGCGGCGTAGCGTCGGAACGGAAACCGCACCTTTTCTAGTCGCTTGATCCTTGAGCCAAAGTACATATGGTATATATATATGTACATGTTGCACTGTACATGTCGCTGCACTTCCATTCGCATATATATATATATATATACTCCATTGAATTCCAATAAATCACTGAAACTCCATGTTTGTTCTCGATCCGGGCATCAGTTCCGCGTAACGCCGCACCTCTTCGGCCTTCCGCTGCCTCAGCAGCTCCTGTCGCGCCGAGACCGGTCGGAACCCCAAAAGGGACGACCGTTAAGGGGTGGCGCTGCGCCATACGGTGGTGCCTGCCATGTGCTTTAACGAATTGAGTTGAGCAACTCCAAACATTACAACTGCATTCCGTTTCTGAGTAGTCGGTTGAAATGTACTGTTTTTTTCTACCCGTATATACAAAAGGACAATTTCACCTGATTCATGATTGTACTGTATAATTGATTGCTTTTTTCTCTGGGTTGCTTTGGCTCTCCACAGTGAGATAACCCTGAGGTGTCGGTTGTATGGTCCATCCTGTTTCCACGGGGTAAATAAAAAACACATGATCTTCTGTACTTCCCCAGGGCCCCAGGGCTCCTGTCCCATCTCCTCAGATTCAGTGGGCACAGAATTCCCTGGCATCCACCCACCCCTGTATACCATCGAACCGAGTTTCGGAGGGGGCATCCAGATTCACGGCTTCGAGCGGGGGCTCTGGTTCTTCAATTCGTACGACAAACTGGCAAACTGGGGCAAACTGCTTATATATAGTAAGTATGTTGGATACTTAAAACATGGAACATTGGAGTTCACCGGACGTACTCGTATGTCCTTTCTATTTGGCTTTTGTGGCCTTTTGGTGAAGTCTGGGCTTTGCGATGTTTTGATCCTCTCCTGCTTCTGGCTTTCGATGAAGCTATTCAGGCCAGCCCCTGCAAAGGTGACCTGGCTGCGCTGCCTTCGGCATGTCTGAACATCAGCACCTTCTCTGCCTTCGAAAATGTCTGAACATGTTCCGTCGTGTGCTCGCTCTCTTGAGCTGGGGGGTACTCCAGACTCCAGCCTTTCCCTAGGGCTCCAAGTACCTTCTGAGAAGGTGTTTGGGGTGGGTTTGGAGGGTCCAAACACCTTCTGAGGAGGTACTTGGAGCCCTAGGGTTTCTGAACATGTTCCAACAATTCCTGAGGTCCATCGCTGAAAGATGGTGGCGGAGGCTCGAATGGCAAGCTGGGGCAATGTCAGCAGTAGATCATACAGACTAGCGCCCCCTCGGATGGTGTTGGCTGAATGTTGTGAGGCTGATGGGTTTGTGGGTCAAACCATGGACTTCGAGCATAGCTAGGCATGAACAGGGAGTCAAAGACAAAAGAGAAATGTTCACATACCAGCAGTTCCCCAGGAATGGTTGTTAGTCCCATCCAGTACTTGGATAATGGGCAAACCTATCCTTCAATAGGCGCCCCTTTGGAACTGCTGGTACGACGAAAGGCTTTGATGTGCTTTGATGGATTTCTCCCTAGGGTCTTGTCGATTGACCCAAAGGCTGTTTCAAGTCCAAGCTCTCCACCTTTCCATCACGCCACGCGCCACACATGATATCCTCGGCACATGTCAACCACATGTGTGGCAGATCAAATTTCCTCGACCTGTTTGGATTCTTAGAGTCACAAGAAGCTACGTACTAGTAACAAAGGGCATCGCTACTAGGAGAAAGGACACTACTAGTAGCTCGTGGCAATACTACTAGGAACAAGAAGCTACTAGTGTGGAGGCCATCGCTATTAGGAGGTAGTCCCAACTCCCAACGACCTTCGGAGTCGGAGCGCTCGATAAGAAAATGGAAGGTTGGACCATGTCAAATCCCAGTTTCTGGAGTTGTTCACTGGCTCAGTGCCTGAACAAATGCACTCTCATTCTTCAGTGCAGTACTTTCCTTTTTTCAGTGGCTCAGTGTATCCTTCATCTGTTCCAAGCTCTTGCGCCTCCCTTCGACGTCCGGATCCTGCCTCGGCCATCGAACGCGTGGGTGAGCCCGTTGGCGCTCCACCTGCGGCCCGGGCATGGCGAAAGCTGCTTGTTTGCTCTTACAAACAGGTCTTTTCGATGTGAATCGGAGTGTGAGGGATGTATATTTACATCCTTTCTGAAGGTGTGTGGGAGAGCTTTCCCCAAGCTAATTAAGTTTCATCAGATATGATACGAACGTCGCGGACGAACCACGGTCCAACGCCTGCGTGGCGCATGCCAGGTCCGTGGCCATTGCTGGTTGGACCTGGCTAAAAACCGAGCTTTTTGAGGCAGAAGAAGCACGCACCCCTCAAAAATGCCAGAAACACCTCTCTAATTGACTACCCTCCCTGGATGCGGTTTGTTCACATGTTCATCTTCCAGGTGGTTGTAAGTTTCTAGTTCATTTGGAGGTGAAGCAAGAGCAGCTTCACCTCTGAGCTGACGGCACCACTTGCTGCTAGAGACACCACGTTTCCGATATTTTCCGATGTGTCCAACCTCCCAAGACCGTTAGCACCAACCCACCCCAGTCAATCCCAAACCCGTTGAGGTGTTAGCGATGCTGAAGAAATCAGCTGTGCTGGACTGGGACTTTTGATGGAAGTGGCTTGCAGAAGATCGACAGCTGTAGCAAAAAGATCCGTCAAAGCACGATCCGTCTTTTGCTCTTCAAATGTTTAGAAGCTATGGGGAGTTCCCCTTCCGCAAGCCCCTAGTAGCTTCTTGTTCCTAGTAGTAAGGCCAGAAGTCCCTAGCAGCTTCTTGTTCCTAGTAGTAAGGCCAAGAGCCCCTAGTAGCTTTTTGTTCTGAATGTGCAGGTATAATCATTGTTATCGTTGTTTTTTACTCTTATCGTTTTCTGGGGTAGGAATGTATAGTAGTGTTAAGGTGCATGCCAATACTAAACCGCTGAGCGCGGGGTTATTACAACAGCCCAGGTGTTTCTAGTGACAACAGAAAGATGCCGTTACATGGTAGTACTACCCTTCGTCTTGTCCAAAGGTTTTCTCTTCTTGGACTTCAAAGAACTGCAGGTGACAACCAAGAACTGGATCCTCCAACAGCGACAACGTGTGACAACAGGTGGTTGATGGACATGCTAGTGGTGGGATCCAAACACCGCGCTTGCTCGTAATTGTTACCTCCAACAAACATGACATGATCAAAATACCCCATATTTACAGTGTGCCAAGCATATGGAGCAGAGAGTGCAAATCTCGGTCAGTTGTTAGCTGCTCCATGTCTTTCTTACTATTGTTGTATGATTCAATTGTGAGTTCCGCCATTGAAACATGCAAGCATGTGAATGTGTTGTTATTTTATGATCCATATTCTATGCTATTCAAGGAACGCATTCACTAAGCTATTGCGTGGTGGGTGCCCTTTGGTGCAGCAAAGCTGCGACAGACTCTCTTTTCCATGCGCGGGTCCGCGGACTGCAGTCCAAGCGCAACAGTCCCAAGTCCAGCTACGCTTCAGCGTCGCTGTCTTCATTGGTTTCCCAAGTCTCGGCATACCATTTAATGAACTCATTCAGCGAAACCTGACCTGGGACAAATTCAAAGTGAGAAGCGGACTGGAACGTGGGTCAGAGCTGGGGTCCATGAGTGTAGTCCATACATGGATGGAATTGGGCATTGAAACATTGAAGTGCTGGTAGATTACACAAGCAACTCTATTCAGTATCAAGAAGCAATGACGCGGCATTTCATGAACGCCTTTATTTTTGAGGTACACTCTGACGCACTAACATGGAAGTGGACAACTCCCTGTTGGTAGAGGAAAGTAGTCTTCCAAGGGACCATTTTCCGCTTCCATGTTAAATTCTTTGAGTCAGGAATAGTCAGGAGTTTTATTTCTCAAAGCGGGGTCTGCTGCGTGCAGGATCTCACGCTGGATCTCGATTCCGATTCCTACCGAAACCAGAGTCTCAAACACCACTGGTGAAAACAATAATTCATTCGTCAGAAACTGGATCAGCTGAAAGAGATAGAAAGGGATTAGAATGCGGACATTTATTTTGATGCTCGGTCTCTGTCATTCATCCCTGCCCATCTGAGTGCCGTCCAGATCCCTGCCCATCTACTGCCATGCTGGTTCTCAAAAGGACCAGCAAACGGTTGGCCGACTTCAACGACTGCCTGGCTCTCGACCTGAGGCCTTGTCAAACAACATCGTACGTAGGTTTGCGCAGTATGATTACGAGACCAGCACCTTCCCTATACTATGGGGGTTGCCATTGCACTACCCAGCCCACTAATTACTTGTGGACCTCCAGCCAGGACACCCCTTTTTGAAGATCCAGGTATAATTGGTTGCAGATATTTGCAGTCATGTCGCACCTTGTAAACCAACAGGAGAATTGATCTTTGCCATATCTTCGCCAATCTTCAGGGCGCTCATGATTGATAGGTCTATGGCATTCTATGCCAACTGGCTACCAAGGCTCCGCAATTCATGCCCCCCCAAGCCACGCACGACGTCATGGTGCCGAGGAACCGTCGCCATTGGTGTCCACCTGTTGGATCACGTTCTCGAAGCCTAGCCGGGCGTTGAAACCGCGGAGCTTACTGTGTGTTTTGACGCGGCGCGAGGGCTGCGGATGTTGTTTCACCATTGCACAGCGCGGTGCAGCCGGGACCCGGGGAATCTTACTTCGAGTAGCAACAACAGCTGTTGTTTGCAACAGGGTTCTGAAACCAGGTCATGAAGTCCTGCAAATGCCAATCAAACACTACGAACGTGTTTTCTTTAGCCGTTGCCCTGGGAACAAAGTCACGTCTAATAGAAATGCTGAGAAACTGGGCGAATGGCAGTGACTGGCTAGCCGGTGCCCTGTAAGCGTGTCGTATGTGCGCAGGGTTGCCATGACTAGAAAGTAGAGATCACCTGCATCCTGTCCTTCGAAAAAGAAGTCGGTTTTCCATGTGAAAAAAGAACAAAAGCAACCCCTTTTCATTCTGAATGTCAAATGGCCCATGCAGCCATCAGCATGATCCAACAGCCCATTCTGAGAAGTTAAACAAATGTAGATCGCAGCTGCCCTGTCATGAACAGTCATCAGGTGCACCATCCAGGATCTTCACTAATTGTGTCCCTCTCAGTGCAACCCTCGAATCTGGTACCTAGTTCAAGCACGAGAAAACCCTTTCAGGGCGGCCATAGCACTACCTTATGCTTTGAATTCTCCAGCACGCGACCCCAATGCCTGGAGTGCCACCCCCCCCGACTTCGTGCAAGCAAAGCACATTCGGAGACCTGGGCGGAACTAAAGTAACTAGAGATGAAGCACAGTCATCCAGCTACGTCCCAAAGTAGTTCCAAACGAACAGCATAGACCTTGAAACCTTGGCATATATATACCTATACACTAAGACGTCTAACCTTGTAGGCTTGCCCAAAGCGTCGAAGAAGCGACCACTCGACATACCCACATGCAAGTTGCTATTAACACCCCACTTGCTGTTAACATCAATGAACCCAAACATGAAGCAACCCACATGGAAAGTCCTGACGCGCATCCTACGATGGTCCGCATGTGCTCAGGTCCGAAGGGCTGCCCCATTCTGTTCGAACAGCTCGGTCCGAAGCTGAAAGAGCCTCTGTATTCAACTCGGTCCTCACATGTTGTCATGACGTTCGACTTAGTGGAACTGGATGTGGATGTACCAGGGTCGGTGTCCAGCTGTGTCCGGCAGTGGTGCCGGAGCTAGGCGCTTCAGCAGGTTCAGCCTAAACATGCTTAAACATCGGAGAACACATGGATTTCTCACTCGAATGTGTTCAGTCCGAAGTTTTTGGAACCACATGGTGACCGGATTGAGAATCTGGCCGGATCGACTGAGCACTTGCTTTTCAAGTGCTCAGTCGCCACACAAGACTTGTGGTGTCTTCCCATCAGACTCCATTGGACAGGTGATTTCTGTAGCAGCCCACTCTGAGTAGGCCGCCACCCGTCACTGTTTATCCGTTCGATCCGTTCCGGAGACCCAGGGTCAATGGAGGGTGCGAGACCGTGTCTATCATACCCAGCGATGTGTTTGTTGCATGACCATTAGACATCAAAAGTCAAGAGTTTGTTCTTTGTTCTTCCCTCTTGTTGGCCCTGTCAGGCTCTGTTGAATACACAACCACACAAGCCTCTTAGCATCTCTTAGCCATATAGACCAGCAGTCCGTCCAGTCCAAAGCATGACCCTGGACCTTGGACACCTGGAGGTCGGTCATGGCACAGGGAGACCGATCGGTTTTTTCCAGCAAAAGGGAACTACAAGGCATATTAGAATATCCCTAGGGCCCCAAGTACCTTCGTTTCGAAGGTGGGACTGGGGTGGGTGCTAGGAGGGTCCAAACACCTTCTGAGGAGGTACTTGGAGTTGTAGGGTATAACAGACCATAAGAATATCAATACAATGAACTATATTAGAAGGACTACTAACCATACAGAACTTGACATGAATTGAATAGACTATAAGGAAAATTCCAACCTACCAAGGTTAACCGGGCTTGCTGAGTTGAACGACCCACGCGTGGACGCGTTGACCAAAGGCACTTCGCCCTGCTCCACCAGGCTCTCATAGAGAGGCCGGAACTGCTCCACAGAGAGCTGACCTGGACCAACGGTCGAGAGCGCCATCCGAAGCAGCTGAGGTGGGTTGCGGCAGGACCTCGAGGTGAGTTCCAGGTCTAAGTTGAGTGGGTTGCTAAAGACATAGATCAATATAAGGCTCCTTGTTCCAAGCTATACCTTTCGCGGGAATTCCTAGGACTTCGAAATGGATTCGGTGTGACATTCTTCAGGACAGGGACTCATTTTCGAGACAGGTCACGTATCAATTTGACTCGAGTGCTGCACCTCATCGCCTCAACTCATCACACATGTCGCCCGCGAAAACACAACTCCTCACAGGGAAGACTATTAGGCTATTAGCGATGGCCTCCAGCCTACCAGCGATGGCGTCCACCCGTGCCCACCGGAGCCGGCGTGCGTGGCGTACGTGCGAGCGCCTTTCAGCTCCTCGTCATAGGCCCGAAAGAAGTCGCCCACCTGAAGCCCAAGAAGCGCGACGTCGCTGTCGGAAGAAACGGAGCAGGGATGGGTGGGAGGCTTGGATTCATACTGGATCATGCGGGAAGAAGAAGAAAAACAAGAAGAAGAAGAAGAAGCTTCAGTCTATCAACAAAATATAACAAAATATGTGGATGGTCAAACCAACAATATTGGAACACAAATTCTCCTGGTGGGAGGTGGTATTGGTATATATGGACTCCAAAAAGTACTGTCAACAAAAGAACATGATTCAGTAAGGTTATCGCTTTTGAGGGGCCCATCGCTTTTGCAGCTTTTGGCCCCATTCATGAGATTCACGACCGCTGTTTGCTAAATTAGTCATTGCACGTTTTGGCGGTTTCTCACATGGATGTCATAAATGATACACACTGGAACACCACACCGCCAGGATGCCACACAGGCCATGGCCCAGGCCCAGTCGGATGTACTCCATGCGGCCTGTCGGATGTACTCCGAGTGTTCGTCGCTCGCATCATGGAACCTTCGGATGTTTGCTCCGAGCATGGAAAAAAACGCCCCAGAGTCCCCGGTCGTTGGAGAGCAAAGATACGCAAAGATCATCTTGTATCAATGGGAAAAATGGGTTTTGGATCATTCTTGATCTAAGAATATGCATGTATCCTTTGATGAGGGATCTAACCAGGGGGGGGCCAAAACAACGAAGGATCCAGCTAATCGGAGGTCGCCAGTGGTTCCAAATGGTTGGAAACCGCCCAACATGTTCTGAACATTCCCTGAAAAAGCACCTGGACCTTGTTGGTCCCACTATGTCGATCCTGGCAAGTCCAACGATCGAAGCCACGATGGAAGCCACTGCGAACGGAACCCGAAAGGAAGCCAGCAGGGCAGTCCGATCTCGCAGCTTCATCAATTACATGAAGGACCACCTGGTTACATGGTCTGTCATTCTGTCCTACAGTCGAAATGCCGATTGAAACTATACTTCATGAAAGCAATAAGTCACCTCTTCTCATTGAGGCTTAAGTCAACCACACGCCTTGGACCTTTGGGGTGTCGCGCTGCAACACGTATCCACCAAGACCATGCCACCGAGATCGCGGGACCAGAATCGACGGATTCCTCGGGCGATTCCTCGGGCGAGTCGATTCATCGGTGGGCACCAAGAAACAAATGTGCAAATCGATTGTCGCCTTGGCGCCACCGCCTCGATATGCAGCTGTCGAGCGAGCTAACGAAACGCGCACACGCGCGACAGGAAAGACGGAATCGCGACGCAGGAAACACCGCGGAGGCCCGAGACGTCCGGGCTTTGATTCAAAGAACTGCAGCTGTCTGAGGGAACAGAACCATGAGTTGTAAGGCACTGCCACCTGCCAAGCCTAAATGTCAAGTCTCTGGTTCATGGAAGAACAGTTATATTGAAGCTCTTATTGGGTTCCTAGTATTTTGCCGTGGATTGACCTGTTTCTCCAAACGACACGTCCCTCCAGTCCCTTTTGACATCCCTCCATGCCTCCCAAATCAATGAGCCCCAATAACCTTCAAAGTCCCTGAGCAAACACAAGAAGACACACAGACACGGAATTCCAAGTCTTGGGGCTGTAAAACTCGTTTGTTGCAACCACCAACTGGGTGGGACCATGTAAATGTATATTAATACATTCCTCCATACCCTCCAACGCTTGCGCTTCCCCGGCGCAGGCAACCCGGTCTCCGCGTGACGGCGGTTCCGCAACCGAGACGTTCCTGTCCAACCCGGTTGGCCGAGGGTCAAATACTCCGGGAAGTCAATGTAGCCGGAGCCGTCTTTGTCGAGCTCCCGGAAAGCTTCTTCAAGCTCCTGAACGGCAAAAACCAAACATGGCATGCCATGGCCCGGCCAGCTGCGTGGGCTGGAAGGTTTTTGATGGGTTTCTGTTCACCACAGAAAACTGCCTATTAAATTATGTGGTCCTGTTGATGAGAAGATGGGAATTGGGTGTCCAAGACTGTAGCCAGTGAAGAACTGGGTAGAAGGGACCAACTGGCCATGAACTTTTGAACTATCAAATCCAAGAGGGTTTCTAAATACCTCTGGATCTGGATGGTTTCTAAATAGATCTAAATAGTGTAGTAGCTGCTACTGAATATAGCCAACTCTATGACGCAAAACCACTAAACCCACGAAACCAAACTCAATCAAAGAATGTGACGGAAGAGGAGTTGCCCCGTGTAGCTTGCTCTCTAATAATGGAGGGACCAGCCCAAAGACGGCAGATCAGATCTCTACGCTAGATCAAACGCAACATGTCGACTTGACCAAGCTGAAACTTCTGGCGTCCATTCATCTGAAGTGAATTGATTCAAACCCGCCAGGCTGTTTTGTCTGTGCTTGACTAAGACTACATAGCTAATTGCTGATCAAGCGATATTTCTGTGTTCACCATCTTAAATCAATAAATGGGTGGCTTCCATTCAATCTCCGGCGATCGCATAGTGATGAACTTCTCTGACCCAACGCGAGTCCCTGGCGACCGATGACTCCTCCTGGCTGAGGCAATACCCGGCGAAATAGCCTCGACAGCCATGAAGGAATACCCAGCCAACCCGGACATCAAATCGATCCGAGCAACTCCCACAGGGCTCGGAGGAAATGGATCATGGAAGGATCTGGAGGCACATTGGTTGTTACATGATCTGACCCAAAAGATCTGATCAAATAGTAAATATAGTTTACCAAACGTTCTCGAGACAACTCGCACGTTGCCAATGATCCACATATTTTCTGGCAACGAACACTTAGACCGCATGTTTTGTTGCGTGAGGTCTAACAAACATGGCATGATGTTATTTTTTTGCCAAAGATCCATGCAGTGCTCTCAAACTGTACTACAGCAAGGAATCGCAACCAACTCAAGTTCCTCCGAGTGCTGAGCTGATACCCCGATTGAGCAGTGCTTCCTGCTGTTTTTTTGGACGGCCCGTTTCACAGGACACGTCTCACTTTCGGAGAGTAACACTTCTGGGCTATAGTTCTGATGCATTCTGAAGCAAGTTACACCTTTAAAGACTTGACATGGATCCAACAACTTCCAAAGTCTCAAACCATGCCGAAACATGTGATGGTGGAAAAGGACCGCTCCACCAACACCATCCGCCCTCTCTTCCACCAGGTGGCACTTCAGCTGGAAGTCCTCCTTCGTCATCCGGGTGCATCCACCTGTCCCTGCAAAGAAGGATTTCTTGGCGCGATGCACCATCTCCTTCCTTGGCACGAACGAGTTCGTGCGTGCGGAGCCATCCTCGACTCAAAGGAGACCAGGTCGGTGTGAGAGGTCTGGTGAAAAGGTTCAACGCCGACATAACCGACATCCTATCCTTCCAACAGAGGTTTTTCAGGACCCGAAGGACCCGAACTATCCCATAGGTACCCCAGTAAGGTCCTATTTACGGTCACTTAACCTCTCCTGGTTTTTTCCCTGGAAGAACTTGTACGCCACTGGTGAAGAACACCAAGCAGGGCAGACCTTTCTGGCGAACCCAAAGAAAGGAAGACGAAGCACGGCACGGCATTCATCCGGCGTGTGGAATGCAAAGCACATATGTTCAAGATACCAATTGCTCTGTACTTATGGTAAGAAAACACGTGCAAAGCAATCCACACGTTCCTCCAAATTGCTTTGATGAGCACTGCCTTCACCCAGACACCAGCCTCTCCCGACACCTATAGAGACCTACTGTCTTGATCTTCATGTGCAACAACTCCGTCACTCGACTACAAACCATGCCAGAAACAGACCTTGCTGGGGGTGGCCACAAACTGAACCAACAGTAAAGAACAACACACTTCAATAATTCCATAGGACTAGGGTATTTACTTACCGTTCAGTTGGAGTGGTTGAAGAGGGTTTAATGAATGTACTGAATCCATTCCACACATGGATTACTTGGTACTTATCCAGCTCGATAGACATGACAGGCTTTCTGCGCTTTCCAACACCTTACCTCAGTGGCTGAGGGACCTCTCAGTACGACCCCAGAACCGGTACAACGAGGTGAACCAGGAATACCTTGCTTGACCGACCTGCGAGAGAAGAAGCCGGTCCATGGTGTTAGTTGAGGCTTCAGGCTTTCACCCATCTGACCTTCCATCAAACCAAGAACCCATTTGACCTTCGGTTTTACATCGAGAAAGACCCATGTTTTGGCTCAAAAAGATAGGGGTCATTCAGGTTCTAAGTAGCTAGCTCCTGGGTCTATAGCTATAGCATATTATAGCATGCTATAGCTCTTTTGGCTGAGTCTACTCACCAAGCCCGCCCGACCCACAATTCTATCACTGCCAAGCAGCTCCTCCTCCGAGCGGAAGCGTAGCCCGCTCTGGCGGTCGTCTTGCGTCTTCCGCCAGTCCAAAAACGTGGTGTAACTGGGGCGACCGGGCGATCGAACAGGGTCCGGTCCACGCTCCGGGCGACAGGGTTTCACCTTTAGACCTTGGGTCCAAATCCCTGAAGCACGCCTAGGGGAAGAAGAGCACGCCTCTTAAGATAGTTGTGGCGCAGCGAGATTGGGCCTTCAACCGAGCAAACAATTGTGGCGCAGCTTGCACCAACTGAGCAGGAGGACCCAGGCCCCTGACCCAGTCATCACATGTCATTACCCAGGCCCCTTCGTGGGCTCAGCTGAAGTAAACACACTGTCCGAACCCAACATCTGTTGCAAGCATGGCCTTGGCGTTGACACAGCAACTGAGCTATACTAGTAGATGTAGTTGAGATGCATAATTAAGCACTACATCAACGTAACTGGGCAGGAAGGCGTCAAATTCAACGGTTTTTTCAAGTGAATCGTCAGGTAGAAAGTGAATTGGACCAGCTGCTTCCAATGAGAATGGGTGTGGGCCAAGTCCCGAACTCTGCCTAAAGCAGGGCGAAAGCGATGAGCTCTACAGCGGTGGAAGTTGGTGACAGTTAAGGACTTGGTAAGTTAAAAGAGAGGTGATGAGGTGAAGTGTCTTCTCTCAGGCCCAAAAATAGATCCATTGGATCCACAGCAACAAGCACAGCGGATTGTGCTTGCACATGAAGGCTCTGGTTCACATAGGGGACCAAATCACTTTCACTGAAACAGGGTTTCAACTCCCAATGACCAACACAATCCCTCAAGTTCAACAGCAGCCAATGCAGCCTAACTTACGTTCAAGAAGCAAATCAAGATCAATCAACATCAAACAACTAGACTAAACACTTTCCTGTTCCCGATTCTGAAACAAAAAACACTCATATATCGTCCCCACTCTCTGCTTCCACTTCCACATCTTTCACCCTTGGTCTCCAAGTTGGGGACATCCAACCCATGCCACCGAGGTGGGACCCAGCTTCCTCCTCCAAGTGGCTCGATGCCGATCTTCGCACCGGACATGCGGACGAAGGCCGCCGCCACTTCCTCCTCCTCCAAGTCACCGAAGCCTCCCGCCGCACCCAACGTCGCTCGCACGAACACCGCACGGAGGCGGTCCGGGGCCGGGAGAGCGCACGCGCACGTGGCACGCGCAGGAGCGACGCAGGCGCAGGAGCGGGCTGGGAGACTTATGGTGCAATTGTTTAGGATCCCATATCCTCATGTGCAGGTTCGGTAGTTAGACCCCCCTGGCACCCACCCCTGTCCCATCTTCGAAACGGAGGGGGCGGCCAGGAGCCCGTACGGGATGATGCAACACACCGCGTACGATGACCATCGTTCGTTCGTCCGAACGCGGGAGCGAAGGAATCCCCGTCGGCTGAACGCTGCTCCGGGCCCACACTTTGAGTGAAACTTCCCGAGCCGACGGCATCCCTGCATCCCAAAAGGATTCCGGCATGTGTTTGCATTGTTCAACAGCTGGGGTTGCAAAAAGGCACCCACCCCAATGTGCAACAGATTTACTTTACATGTTTGACAGGGTGGGGATCATTTCTATTCGGATTCATCTGGGGTCACTAAATGATGTCATTAACATTGTACATGTTTGGGACACATTGACACTTGCGGTGAGGACTTACACATTGGAACGCACACACACACACACACAAGTCCATGTTTTGCTATCATTAGCAAGGCGTAAGGCAAGTACAGATCACGTGATTTCCAACAAAAGACTGACTGATTGCTTGAAGAAGCACACAACATCATCTGCACATCATCAATCCTACACTTGACACTCATTGTCTTGGGAATCACCTGCCATGCCACGCTTCGCACCATCAAACCAAGCCCCGACGATTGCTGGGCACCTTTGTCCTCGCACATGAGCTGAAACTGCTCGAAGGACATGGTCCCTTCGTTGGCATACCTTGTGATGACCAACGCGGACCCGCACCGCTGCACCGCTGCTGCGCCGGTCGGACAGCGCGGAACCCATGGGTGTGTCCGAAAGCGCGAACCATGTCGCACGTTCGGCCGAAGAAGAAGAGCGTCTTAGAAACGTTCAGCATTACAAGGACCCCTTTGATCGGATCTGGGACAATGTGAATGTCTGCAGCTATACTAACATCTCCAAAGGCACCAATGTTCCACTTAACTGGCACGGCATCTGCCAGAATAAGCCACTATAGCCAACTTTTGTAAGTCAATACTTTCTCAACTTGAGAAGCCCTGCAGTTCAAAAATCCTGTATTTATCAATTTTTGAGAAATTCCTTTCATAAAGATATATATATATCCCTTTGTTTCAATGCAGAATACTTTCTCCCCGTTCTGTCTCCTGTCTCCCCCAGCGATCTTCGCCAAGCTTCCGCTCAAAGATGATCTGGCTCAATGGCGCAGTGTGGCCCCGCTTGGTGTCGAAGTTCATGGTGCGACCGCAGGGCAGGACCGGCGATCGAGGATGTAAAGATGACCCGCGGACGGTTTTTTTGATGAGCTGGGGTGGGTGGAGGCATGTCGGACATGTACGATGTTGTAAGATGTTGGAGTTGGAGGCCTTGCGTAAGTTCCAAGAAATTGTGTTGGGCCTTGCAAATGGCAACATCAATCAATTCAATACGCGATTTGCTATTTGATGTTATTTGTGATCCCAGCACTGGGTGAAGCCAAGCTATGTTAGCTATGCGGCCATGTCAATGTTCAAGTGTTTCTTCCAAATCAAAGGATCAAATTATACAAAGCGATTGATTGATTGAAGATCTGGATTTTGACGCTGGGCTTAAATGGGCCGATTGAACCCAGGGACACGCGTGTTGACCGCTGGGCAGGCTCGCAAATGGTACTCTCCAGCATGCCTAGCAGCTTGGTCAAGGAGTCCAGTCCCTTCATTCGCAACAAGACACCTTGGATACATCATGATCTGATCTGACCCTCCGAAAGATTGTAGGGACTGCTTGGATCTTTTTTCTTGCTGCCTAACTTGCGGACAGGAAAGCATGCTGCATGGTCCCTCATTCAATAGTGGGGATCTATACCCTGTGGTCCCAATTGTTTGAACCAAGGGCCAAGAGCGGCAAGCAGGTCGATATCGCAAAGGATTCAACGGCTGGGTCGGGCAGGAGGGCGGCGATGTGCTGATACCATGCAGCAACGAGATGAAAAACGAGGGGCTCCATCCGGCGACCACCCTTCACTGTTCCCTGTGGAGCTGAACTGAGCTGGACCGAAATTCAGTTGGAAAGCGCATTGACATGGTTCCCCCGTGCCAATAACGCATATAGTCTTCAAACCATTGGGAAGTCCATCCACTCTCACCATGTTCTCACTGTTCTTCAGTCCGATATTGAAGGCCTGGTAGGCCACAGTCAGAACTGCTGGGATCTCTGCCATGAGCAGAAACACTTTCTGGGGAAGATTGACCAAGCCACATTCGGGATCTCTGCCATGAGCGTTCGAAGACCCCGACCGGTGCCGACACCCCCAGCTACGAACCGTGGCGACCCAGGCACTGCAGGTGCCAACAAATTCATGGAACCTCCGGGCTTGCTTGAACGGTGAATCCAAGTCCTGAACCCACACTTCTTTGGGGCATTTAGATTGGCGACGTCCGACCATCGCGAGTTTCGGTGGGTTTCACCCCCACGCTCGCTGTTCACCCGCCACGTCTTACCCGCGCACCTGGAAGGCCATCCAAGAGAGGCCCCTCCACTTCCCGCAAGCCAGGCCTAAAGGAGCCGCAGTTCAGCTCGTTCCGGGACGTGCCGTGTTGCTTTGACGAATCTGAGGATTCAATGGGACACATCGGTGCATCGCCACTGAAAAGCTCGCTCGACTGTTGCCATACTCGACTGTGACTGAAGTTCGCTCGGTCCGATTTTTCTGGGATCGGTTTGTTTGCTCGCCCGAGTCGCAGCAAGTTTGCAGGAGGTGCGACATGAGGTTTGGGCTTTTTGAATCCTTGGGATCCTCACCCCGAGTACCAATTGGACGTCAGTAATCTCAGCATCAAACATCCCTGTGACCACTGGCCCACACTGGTCCAAACACATCCTCAGAAGGCACACATTTACTGGCCGTGCATGCAGGGTGAAACAACAAAACAAACTCATGATACATCTGCTGAGTTTCCAGGAGGATCATACACGATCGTACCCTTCCAGTTGGCTGGCTTTGATCATGCAAGAACCCCGAACCCCCTCCCATCCGCGTCCCAGTGGAACCAAGTGGAACATCCCCCTATCTTCCTGCCTGCTTTTCGGAGGACAACCCCAGGATCCAACGCTCCCCCTGCTTTTTGGTCATCCTTTTCCAACCCATCCCGACTGCATCATCCCAACTCTCCACTCCTAACCCTCCCAACCCCTGGTTCCCCCGGACGGGGGAGTGGGCGAGCGCGAGCGCGCCACGGCGGCCTAGAGCAGAACACATCTTCGGCTCGGTGTTCCGGGCATGGTGATGTTTTTGGAACGTTCACCCCTACAACTGAATCATCCAAACGGCCTGTTTTCAGTGAGGTGACGGGGTGAACATACCAGTGCCGTGAGCTGAAATGCAACGTACCCTAAAGAAACGGCGCCCGTCGGATGAGTCAGCTTGGATCATAACTGGCCATGAACCCGAAAGCCTGGCTTGCTTTCATTTGTATATGCGATAGGACAAAACCACACAAAAGCGGCGACCCCAAAAATAGCAAACAAATCCTCACAGTGAAAGGGCTTCCAGTGAAGGAAGATGATGTCAAGCTGTCCTACTAAGATTGCACTTGAGTTACACAAAGTTTTGATCATGCAAGGTCCTTTACATGAGATTGAAATCACCTGCATGATGGCATGGGCATTGGATCTGGCTGTGATCTAACAGACCAGTGCACCTTGGAAGTCACTAGGTCACTAGGTGAAGTTTTGGACCGTTTGGACCTCTACCCGACTGCCATATCCAACTGATGTGATGTATCTGCCTTCCCTCAGCTACCACCCCTACTCCCCTCCAGCCACAGAACTTGCACTGTTTCCGTGCCTCTGCAGCGCGGCTGAGGGGGCTCCTGCTCAAACAAGCGCATCCAAATCATCCAGTAGTAATGTAGACTGTTGATGGTATGTCAGCCCCGCAAGCCTGAAGATGTATTACAAACTAAAAGGCCTTTGCTCTTTAATCAACAGTTTACATGAGTTTTGCGAAGTGCTCTTTATCCATGCATATATACACCCTCACAGGACCAAAGTCCTCTTCCTTTTCACAGCTGGTCGCCCAGCTGACTGCGATTTTTCTCCCCACCACCTAGAGATTCACTCAATTCTATATTCTATCAATAGAATTGATATATATATATATATATATTCTATTATATTCACTCAATTCTATATTATAGTATATTTCGTCCTTCTCCACTAATCCGACAGGAGACACGATCTCTACCGCTTCACGGTATGGAGACTTCTCCCGGGCGGCCCTTGGAACATCGGACGCAGCGAATCCCATCGTGCCCTGAAAACCCTAAGAGCCTGAAGCAAGCTGTGAAGCTTGCTACGACCCTATACGAGCCCTAACTGGAGGATCTGTCCCTAGATTCTCAAGCAGGGGGGATGAATTTCTGCTGAGAGTTCCGGAACTGCACCACAGGGATAGAACTGGCCACTAGAGCCATGGCACATGGTCGCACCTTCCGGGCCGCTCCGGAGCAGCTGCGGAGATCTTCTCACCTAGACCGACCAGCGACAGCAGAGACAAAGGCAGGCCAAATTGGAACCCCGCTAGCTTTCCCCGATTATATATTGAAAAACACATCGATGCAGCCTGTGGAAAGACTCAGATGAAGGACTTTGATATCTACCAATACTCTTACAATCCATTCCAGCTCATCCGCCCCAAAGGCGCACCTCGGTCACCATCAGCATCTGGAAGCTTCACCTCCAGAGAAGTCAAGATGAGGGATAATCCAAAACAAACACCGTCCATCGAATAGTGTCCAACGGAGCGAAACAGTGGTGGAGACTCTTTGGATGGTCCATGATGCTCCTGGTATCTGGTATTGCCACTTAGGATCAGGCCCTGTTGGAGATGTCAATTGGTGACCTGTGAAGTCGGGTGCAGGATGTGGATCCTCATGCTTACTCGAAGTACTCTTTGTGGATCCCCACATCCCATGTCGCGTCCCAACAGGAGTCTGACCGGAACTCGACCACATATGCAATACCAACTCGGAGATGGATGGCTCATGAGAGGTCTTTTCAGACCTGAACTAGTGGTATCATGGCTGTGGCCACCTCTCTCATGAGTGTCAGTGCCAATGACCTTCATGAGAGATAAAAACTCTGAATTGAAGAACTCCACTCCACAACTCTTGGCGTTTCTTCAATGCACCCCTGATGTTTCCTGGTAATCCTAGTTTTCAGGCATTCTAGTGACCCTGTTACAGTAGTTTGCAGCCAGAAGTTCCAAAGACAAGACTTTGACAAGACAAAAGATGGTGACATCTGATGAAATCTGATTTTGGAACCTTTCAAAACGATTTTCCCAAGAGATTGCGTGCACCGGTCACCCATCCGAACCCGACGTTCAAACATCACGTCGACTGCATGTCTATAAGTCTTCTCTTTTGGCCGTTTTTGCGGCGCTTCACACGGCGCGGGCGCGGACGCATCATAGCCCCGGCGCGTTCTTCCCTGGCGGGAGGAGCTTGAATCAGAAAGCCTAGGGGCCATTTGGCAGGTTGATGGTCCTTCAAAAGCAATTATTTCCTGACCAACTGACCAACCACATGCTATTTTCAATTGCTATTATGTTCAACACAATCATGAAACACAAAGACATATCACGATGATATAGTTATAGGCTATATATAGGTTATGAAGCTGGTTCTTCGATCCTTGCAATACACTCGACTCACCCTCCACTTCTTTTCGCACGCGTCTCTCATGTCCAATATTCAATTCAGTTCCTGGATTCCTCAAGCGGGGTACCTATAGCTTCTGTCATTTGTTACCAGGACTCAGGACCTTCCAACATCCCTGATTAGAAAGGACGGCCAGGAACACCCAGATGTTCCTAACACCTATCTTGAAGCAAGATCCAGATTGAGAAGGCATGCAAAGGCTGCGGCAAAGCTATCTAGATGGTAGGGCTACTGGTAGCCTAGAGAATCTCTTTGTTGAACTATGGTTGGAAGATATACTGTACTTTTGGGGCTCATGACAATTAAGTGCACCATAGTGCACCATAAAACAATCGCTGGAAGCGATCACCTCCTGAATTTGGTCATTCCAGTATCTTGTCCAGATCTTGTCCAACTACTAATCATTTCAACAGCAAGCTGCATTTGTTGTTCAAGCAATCTTTTACACAACCCCAGTAAACAAACACCTTATACGCTTTATAATATATAACATATAAAGACTGTGACTGCAACCGACCACTGTTTTTGGTTGCATACCGACCAGACCAGCAAACATCTCGGAGGATCCCAACTGCAAGCATAGGGTTTGTCAAAACTGACACATTGATTCTACCCTGCAACTCTGCAACCTCCCACCATGATTTGACCTGGTTTCAAACCACATGGTACTAGATGGTTACCCGTTGCTCTTCGAACTCTTCTGGCTCCTTCGGTTTTTCCCTGCTTGGCGCTCCTGTCTCTTGGAGACGTAGCTGCCGGCTCCGCGCGCTCCGCGCGGCTCCGCGGCGCCGTCGGCACGTCCAAACGACGTTTCCGCAACTTCTTCGTTGGCCTATGGTGTGATGCGGGCGGTGGACCTTCGGTAGACCTTCCGCACGACACTCCGAATCAAAGAGATTGCACACCTACGGAAGGTCGTGGCGAAAACGATCCTTCGAATCCTTCCGTAAGTGTTACAGAACGAGCATGAGTCTGGCAACAGTCCGTAGGCAAAAGTCACACCAGCACCCGACTCTACAGTGTCTCAGCCACTGGTTGCGGGAACATGGCGACCTTGAAGTGGCTGAAGACCGAAGTTGGCTGGTAGATATTCACCCACATCATTTGGGTTCTTACTGTGGTACTGTGGTAGTCTTTGGGTTACATCTTCGACATCATTCCTCCCACGTTAGGGCCTGACGTCATCTCTTGGAGACGGCGTCCTCGGTCGCTTCTTCAGCGTGCTGCGCCTCGTGCGGTTGGTTCGAACTCGTGCGGCTCGTTGAGGGGGGGCGGGTCCCGCTGGTCCCGCAGGTCCGCCGTGAACAGCGACGTCGACCGTGGAAGACTCCCTTTTGTGGCAAAGAAAGGAAGACCCCCTCTGTGTCGACATGTAGCTTATAACTTGTAACAGTTGTAACGTGATGTTGTTACTAACATGGTCAGATATTATCGTATGTAACCGGTTCTAGGCATGCATATATTATGAACCAACATAGTACTTCAATTGTTTAGCAAATCAACTTGACATTTTCAAGGTGATCCAGGCCGCATGGCTCCTTGCAATATAAAGAATCCCAGTGGATACTATACCGGACCGGCAAAGCTAGGAGAAAACACTCATGACTCACCCTCTTGCATCGCGGCCACACGGAGATCCCAGCCGGAGTTAAGAAAATTCCTGATCGTGGAAATTGGCGATTCGTCATACGAACACGACAAACGTGAACGGAGCGGAGCCAAGACGCATGAACCAACGAACCTAACATCTGTCAAAAATTTTCCCCAGGTCGCCAGGCCTTACATGTACAAGGACTCAGGCCCTTGGGGGGCAAAAGAACTGAGACGAATTTGAGCCGGTGGCATTCCCGTCTCAAACCTCCTGGCAAAATGGAATCCCACCAAGATCCTGCCCATGGATGCATTTACCTGCCACACCGTGGGCCGGTTCGTTTCGGAATTCAATCCCAACTCCCGCCTGCTCTTCTTCGCATCCCGTCGCGTAGTGGGGCCAAAGAAGGTCTCTGTCGCTTGATTCTCCTCCCAGACCTCAAGGAACGGAGTCTTCTTTCGTCTGAAGGAGTGAGCCAAAAGCACCTCAAAAAGCACCGACAGCCCCAAATCACGTGCATTTTTGGGCCGAAAACGGGGGCTGTTTGACCCGGGGCTGACTGATGTTGATGTTGATTTACAACCTTTGTGAGAGAGAACCTCTGATAAAATCATGTAGATGGTCACAACTTTGTGTAGCTCATCGCACCAGCTTCGGTATGAGCATGGACATTTTTCTGGTCACATGATGCATTAAGTCTCGGTGAGGAAGGAACCGAGACGGAAACGCACGGAAGGCAAGGCCTATTCAACCATGACCACAACCAAAGGGTTTCTGGTCCGTATGCCCCCCCCAATCAACGGTAGGCTACGGTAATCTTGATCTCATGCGTTTGGAAAAAATAATCCCTAAAAACAAACCACTGAATACAACATGTAGAGTTTCCATTGGTTGGGAACCCCGTCATTCGAACACAAAAGACGCTTTAACAACAATCTGACTGACAACAACATTACATAAATGGATGTTATTGGGTTCCTTGTATATCCACTTCCACTTACTGCGTTACGTCTACTCGGGCCTTTGGAGGGTTCCATGCTTAAATAAAAACAGCACACTTTGAACATATTCATATTATACACATCATGCACAACTTACTTGATTTAACGATCAATAATTGTGCAGGTTGCATGAAAACAGCTTGTCTTGTAATTTCATATAGTATTGACATGTTTTTGAACATGAATCCACCAAAGACACCCAAAGACCGAGCAGAACCCGAAAATGAATCTCGCCGGAGCACTCGCCCGCGCTTCTGCGCATCGGCCAGCAGCGCCCCCACGTCACAGGTCTGCGAGGTCGACTTGGCGTCCAAGGCCCGGCAATTGGCAAAGACCTCTGAAGGCACTTCCCTCTGGATCATTGGTGTCCCTTGACGTAAATTCCAGATCATGCGTGGGATAGGTCAATAGGTCAAAAACATGTAATGATCTGGGAAGTCATCTAATAATACGATTGTGAGGGAGTTGTCGGCGTTGTCGGGTGTTTAATTCTACCTCTGATGACTGAAGAATGGATCCAGCAACATAATGATGTTCTGGAGTCTACCAGCACCTGACCCTACAGGTCTCCTAAAGAAGGTTGTTAGACCCTAAGAGAAGGTCTCAATTGGTGACCGATTGGTAACTTGTGAAGTCGGGTGCTGGTACTTGATGTTTCATTTGCCAGGCCCACTCCAACAGGTCACCATGAAATTGGGAGACCGGAAGGATCAAGGAGTGGTCTCACATGCACAGAATCAATCAAGGAAGCGGCCCGTGTTGAAAGGTTTTGTCTCAACGTCTGATGTCCAGCAAAGTCTTCAAATATGGGTGTGTAATTGGGTGTCCTGCTGATGGGTGCTCCTGGAAGAACAGGAGTACTAGTCTCCATGAGTCTAGACACCCATATCCCTAAAGGGATGTACAGATCTACCGATCGCAGCCCATGGAGACTGTTTCACCAAACCCATCACCATCCACCCTCAAACCCGCCGACTGCCACCGCCCACCCCGTAACCCCATACAGTCCTCCCCCACGTCTTCCAGCCGAGGCCACAATCAGAGAGCGCTTCGCGCGGGTGAGCGCCACGTTCAGGCGCCGGAACTCCTGGAGGAAGCCCAAGCGGCCCTGGTCGTTAGCGCGCACGAAGGACAAGAGCCTCGCGCACGATTGACCGTAGGGCGGTGCAGGGCTGGCGACAAGCCGGTTTGGTGGGGGTGGTTAACCCAAGTCCGGGGGCTGGCACGGAGACCACCATGTCTGAAGAGTGGTGAAAGTGGATAAAGATCTTCTGATGTGGTGAACTTGGTGAGCAAAAAGATTGTGATAAGGATATTACTGGAAGCTTTGTAATGGTTTGTCCTGAGCTAGCAAGCCAAATCCCTACTGGTTTTCAGGTCAGAAATCCACAGCATCCTTAGTTTTTGGTCATGGATCTTCACGTGGCTCAGAATTTCATGGATAAACGCTCGATTCTCCACCACTATAAGCTTCACCCCCAAACTTCCATGTTCCATGGTTTTCCGGAATACCTATAGCACTTTTTCAGACACATCGAAACACATGAAATTCATGTGTTCGGTCTACGGTTTTTAGGACCAAATCCAGGCTGTTCCAAGCTCCAACCCGCCACTGGCGCCCGAAAAGCTATCCACCAGGGGACACGATGTCGGCTTCGGAGCCCTGAAAGCTATCCACCGTGTGCACGGGAATGCTCACCTTGGAGATCCCGGACCCAGACAGGACCGAAGACAGGACCTCTTTTCTAGCGGTCCGAAGGCCGGGGGCTTGGAGAGATGTACTCCCAAAAGAGGTGGGAAGGAAATAGGTTTCAGGTGAGTATCCTAGACATTATGGAGGGACTACAGCCGACTCTGATGGAAATCGAAACCTATGCGCTTGCCTCTTCGATGGTGTCCCCACGGAAGAAGAGAAGGCGATGAACAAGAAGCAAGGAAGTGGGGACTATGCATGCCAGCTGGGGTCCAACAGGACAAGGCATGCTTCAAGCGGCCAAATCCAAAGAACTGTTTCTGCACAAATATCCACCCTGTACTACACTATATGGACTATATGTACATAAGACCATAAAGAACCCTTTACATGCGCTTATTGGGGAATCAAGCAACCCCGTCAGGGATTCTGGTTGCCATCCCCGCAACTCACATAACAAACAAACACCTGCAAGGTCAATGTATTCCAATCAGCAAACTAAAGCCATCCATGTGAATATCATAAGGTAGATTTCATTTGGTGGCAGTGGATGGTGGTGGTGATGATGATGATGATGATGCCGAATTGGCATCCCACCAAATCAAACATAGTAAAAACCAACAGATCCAAACGATAGCACGAACCAGATTGGACCCAACGTTACAGGTCCGATGTCAAGCTTTTGGCCTTGGAGAGCTCTGGAGAAAGGGGGCGACACCGACAGGTTCATTACATTAGTTTATATACAATATAGTATTAATGTTATAATTAACATTCTGCATGGTCCCTCCAAAGTGAGGCGCTCCTAAAGCCTGTTAAACCTGCAAACCATCATGATTCCCTAGTTCCTGGGAGACTCTATTGTCAGCATTGTGGTGTAGAAAACAAACAGCATCGTTTTGCGAACCAAATGATCTACATGCTATTGCATCATTCTTTGGGAAGCGACTGAGCCGCGACATGATGATGTTCTTCCAATTCCTTGGGAATGCGAGTTGTGCAGCCCAGTCCTGCCACATAAACTACGTATAAAATCGTATAAACTAGGACGTTTGTGTGGGTCCAAGTCTATTTTGTATATAATTATGTTGCTACAAGGTGCTACAAGTGATGTATTCTGGTTCAACCACCTGTGACCACCCTACATCATCCTCTTCCACACGGACCTGACCACCACGACGCCACACACGTGAAAAAACAAAAAAACGTCGCATCATGTCCACCACCGCGTCACCGGCACCACCACCGCGTCACCGGCACCACCAAGTCACATCACCCATCAACTGTCGTATCAGTGAGGCCTGTCCGTTGTAGAAGGTGATGACCACCATCTTCGGTGACCGTGAGTCCGTGGCCGCGCCGCCTGCGCGAGCGTTTTCTTTTGGCGCTCGATCCATCGAAAGACCGATGGCACAGTCGTGGTGGCGCAATCGGCCTATTTCCAGAACGGGACGAAATTTGGGACCTTGCTCGGTGACCCGTTGCATCTCTACCTTCACCAAATGGATGGGATCGCTACGTTTAAGGAACAGTATATGGAGAGTCTGAGGCAATACCCTATAGCCTATAGCATACAAAGGTACCTCTCGCAGACTGTGATCCCAATCCCCATCCTGCCCCCCCTTCTTCGACGTGGTCCCAAGTTGGACGAATCAGGAAACCGGGGGGTTGAACCCCAGGATTGCACCCAAACCAAGAAGGGGAATCTTCATAAGTTCACCCAACTGGTGAAGGCATGGTCCATATAAAAGTAATCGGTTCATCTGACTATTTATATGACCTACCCAGAGGATCCAAACAAGCTTCGGGGCGTCAGGAGCTCTTGGGACCTTTGACTTCCAAACCTGAGGGCCCATAAGGATTCGACCCTTCGTCATGAGACCCCATGAGGGCCCAAGCCTTTGGCACAATCTTATCCCTTTTTCATTATCTCGCAACGTGTCGCATACAACGGCGAATCTCCATGCCAAGCTTGACTTTGTAGCGCTGCAACACACGTTTGCTTACCGTGCTTCTGTGACAAGCCCTTGCGATCCTGGCAATCACACCAACGAAGCCCTCCGCTGTCAACAATGTATAATACCGGCAGTTGACCCGTGTAGATCGAACAGTAAACAACACGTGAAGAAAATAATGACTCTTCGGAGCCAATGGCCATAGGCACCTGCCTGGTACATTCCCAACAATGCTTGCTGACAACGCTCGTAGGCGTGTGTAGGAAAGCAAATGTAAATGACCAGCCCTGAAGATTTCTTCGGCCTGGTCCGTCGTCAAGACCATCGGATGCTTGCCAATGAGCTCCAAAAAAGTTCGATAAGATCTAGCAGTTACTGCTACCAAGCGATCAGTGTCAGATGCCCCCTCTCTCTGAGCAAACTGCTCAGCAACTTCTGCCAACCAGAAGGATACACGCTTGCCTGCTACTCCCTTTGCTTGAAGCGATGGATAGTCTTGACGGGAGTGACGACCTACTCTGGAGCATGTAAATCGAGCTTGTGTTGAAACAATTTTGTGTTGTGATTTCCATGCTCCAAACTGCCGGAATGCTTCGTTCAAGCGCACCTGTAGCAAATGGGGATAGCGTCCTCGCACCCATTGACCAAAGACGCCGTTCTCACATAAAAAACATAGGATCGAACCTTGATTGACTTTAACAGTTTCACCGGAGCCCACTATCACATACGTTCCCATTAATTTCAATTAATTGTTTGGATCCTTTGGTGTAGTGTGGGGTGTTAAATCAATAAAACATGATTGCATGTGTCATGCATAGATCCAACAAAAACTACTATATAGATGACAAGTTTCCATTGAGAAGACGACCGGTGCCCAAGAGCTGGCCGTGCAAGACATCGTGCATAAACCTGTGTAAGTGGGCCCCTGGAATATCGAAGGTCACCGATCCTGCGAACAGCATTGTATGATTGAGTCTTCTATGATGCCATGAAAGTATACACAACCACACATGAACACAAAAATGTACATAATAACCAGGTCGCGTTCTTCAGGACTCGTTGCCCGGATGTACTCTGCGTGGCTTATCAAAGTGTTACGATGCTCAGCATTTTCTCTACAATCTCCCAGTGTCATAGAAACATTGGCACCACTCTTGGTACACTTGCACAATGAACAAAAATCATTGCTGTTGTAGGGAAAGAGGTTGTGTTTTTGCATCATATATTTGAGATCACCCTGGTTCGAGCTGAACATGAATGTAAAGCGGGACGACCAAGGGAATCGATTGTTGACATCAACCATGAACTTGATTCGTGCACAAACAGCAGTCATAATGTCCCTGTAGGTGTAGTCGCTAGCAACGTATTCGCTGTAAGCTGTCAGCAACATATATCTCATGAGTGGTGACCGATTGTAGCAAAAATCGCTGGTCCACCCTAGGACCATGATACTCCCAACCTCAGTCCCCTTGTATGTAGCCACTTCATCTGCATACAATGACATTGGAATCAATCCTGTCCTGCGAAGATGAGCTGACGGGTGCACTTGAAACCATTCCGAAGTGGAATACACGTGTTCCCAATAATGTTCCACATCCGATCTCGACATGTCACCAAAGAAGAACCATTCAAAGACACGTTCTCCCAACTTCCATATGGCCATGGCCAGCTGATCTGGCATGAGGACCGGAATCTTGGTTCGCACTATCTTGCTCTCCTTGTGGTCCCACATTCTAACATCCACCTCTTCAAACTCCATGTGTAGTCCCATGGTTCTGGTCAGTAATACATGGAGGTCACGCTCAGCATTGTTCGGCAATGCACCATTTGCCGCAATGTTGGCAAGTCGACGAAGCATGTGGTCATTGGGAACATAGGCACCAAGACTTGTACATAGTTTGATTGCATCATTGGAAAGCTGTTGTACCTTGTATTGTAGATCTCTTCGTGCAGAATCCTTTTGTTACATATGCATGTAAGACATGAACCAAAGACAAAATATGAACGTGTTCACAAACATAGAACAAGAATCTTTGATGGCAGAACATTTGCCAGCCGTAAAATCGTCAATCAGGGTGGTCCAAAGTGCATCGCTGTCACTCTGACCACTGTTGGTCAATCGTCTCGCAGAATCTGAGGGACGAAGATTGGCATTGGCATCAACCTGCACAAGATCGAGGCATGGCCAGACTTTGATACAACAGGGTTGCTTCCAGTACATGTGGGAGGGGTTGCAAGAGTTTTGATTTGGACTATAGACTCACCCATAATGTACAAACCTTTGTTCTATATAGATACACTCCTCAACTTCATTTACATGTCCACCTTGCCTCACCCCCACATGTTGCAGAGCTCGGCTTCGTGCCTGCATGTCAACAAAAATAAGAGCACACTACTCTAAGGTTTACATGTATCACACTCCGTGTGCACAAAGACGGATGTAAAGCACATACACTGCGGTTGTGCTTGTCTCTTTGCGCATTTCTAGCATCCATCGCGTTGTTTTGGCTAGCACGTTGGGAGTTCCAACATGCATCAATACATATCCCCTTTGCGTGAGCAGCTTGTGCAGATAAGACACACTCATCAAAACCTTTGCAATTAAAACATTGCTGTCGTACTACATGCACAAGCGTCCGCCACACCCCAACATGAGACCACTCTACGTGAATTGCTCTAAAGGTCGGATCCGCAAACACTCCGACGATAGCTACGCATCGTCGTCTTCCTCATTCTCAAGGTCCTTTGCCTTCTTCCCCTTCTTGGCACGTTTTTTTGATGCTGGTTTCAGCACCTGTGCCGCAATATCAGCGTCCTCTTTGTACATGTGCAACCGCTGTACAGCCAAATTGACCGCTGCAGTTGTCTGTTCAATTGCCGCATCATTCATAGTCTCCGCGTCCTTGCCGCCAGATCATATATCAAGAACTTCAACCATGATTGAAAAGTGCTAGCTTTAGAATTCTCTATGTTGTGTACGATATATGTTTATAGTTTTGTTAGTTCTTCTTGTGACGTCCTGCTTCGCCAAGTCCACGATTTGGTGGTAAGACGTCTCCAGCTCGCTCGCATGTTGTCCCAATGTGTTTCCTGATGCCGAGTAGGTAGCTGGTAACATCTGATAACCCAAAACAACGCGAAGGTGCGTGTCATAGTGTAGAAATACATCGTGCATGCAAAAACTTAATTCATATGAGTTTCTCAACACCTCTTGGTGTTTCAAGTGTTGCATACGGATGGGAAAGATCTTGCAATCAGTCAAAGCCGATGTGAGCTTTGGGAGCAGCCATTCACAAGCTGCAACTGGAGCAGTCGGCATTGGCCTGAGTAAAGAAGTATATCTATTAACCCCAGATATGACATAAAATTTCATTCACAAACATGCACTGAAATTTAGCTCAAAAACGCGTCTTTCTTTCGAGGTTTCTTTTCCTCCTCAACTTCTTGTGCTTCCTCTTCCCCCTCCGTGCCCTTGCCCTTTCTGGTCTTTGGCTTCGGCTTCGGCTTTGCGTCCGGGATCCTTCCACCAGAAGGAGGCACACGTGCGACAGGCTGTCCTCCATCAGGCAAGGCTGTGAGGCCATCCATGATTTCAGGAGCTGCCAGTGTTGATGCCGCCTGCAATGCTGTACGTGCAATGTGAAGAAACCTATGCATGATTGAACATATTCATATACTATCATACCTGCACAAAAGCTCACATGCATACACATATTTCATCCATGAAAGGACCTCAGTTCCTGTAGCAACCTCCATGTCCAAGCGCTGTGAGATGGAGTCAGTCGTCTCTTTCTCACTAACGCTGCAGATATCGAGCAGCACCTGGCATATCACAGTCAGATGACGGGGGAGACAGGAGGATAGTTCGTATATGTTCATGAACATGTAAATGTATATGTGAGGTGTTAACAGTCATACGAACAAGGCACATAATATAGACGCATTTCTTCTGTCGGTAGGTCCGGATGCTCACGAGTGAGTCCTAGCTGTGCTTTGCGCTGACAAATGCCGTTCACCATGTCCACATTGCCATGATACATTTGAAGAAGCTGATCTCGAGTTCGCCAGCCTAAGGATGTGTTCATATCGCAACATATTCAAAACATATTCAACAATATGGTTGCATGATAGTTGATAGTGTGTTCATGCTGAGACAAACACCTTCCTTTCGACGGCCCAGCTCACGGTCTGTGTGAGTTCGCGCTGCAGACACTGTCAACCTGCATGATGTAACCACACACTGTGTAGCAAACATGAGCTAAACAAACACAGACACACAGACATGACAAGCATATCCCCTCACAGATCTTCATTTATCAAAACAACCTGCCCCATGTTCCCCCAGCACGAAGCCATGCCGCGAACAAGTTGTTCTTGGCGGTTTTGCTACGTGTTTTGCAAGCTTCTTTCCATACTGCTTGGAGTTCCTCTGGAACCTGAACTCCAGCCACCTCGCCATTCGCTTGCCTGCACATCCATAAAACTATGAAACCATCATATATATAGCCTCTTCACACCATGCATATATAATAATTACGTGCCTTTTCATCTTGGCATAGAGAGCTTGACGTTCATCATAGGTTTCAAACTCCAATGGCGGAGCCTTGCATGGGACGTGCACATATGATCTACACGTGTAGTATGTATGCAATTGATTTTGCATCCACACATGGTGCACGACAAGTAACATCACCTTCTGCAACATGTATGGTTGGAGTCTCCTGAGACTTGGGACCAGTCTTTTTGATGACTCCAGGCCGATCGGTGTTAGAGGCAGGAGAGATTCGGGCAACTGGCTCGGCAAAGGAAACACGCTTGTTTTGGTCAGTGGAACTCCCAGGCTGGTTTGGTCTATCACTTGAACCTCCTGGCTGGTTGTTCAAAGGCTGCACGGGAGGAACTGCGGGTGTTCCAAGTGGCTTGCACATGGCTGCAGGTCTGCTGGGAGGGCGATCTGCCGGTGCTTTTGGAGTTGGTGGGATCACTGCAGGTTCAGCTTTGTGGGCTGCAATGGTGCGTTCATTGGCATCATCATCATCATCCAATTCAATATATGTCACACCACCACTCACTGGGCTTGGTGCCTTGGTGGACGGGGTGGGTGGAGTGGTGGCTGATGAACTGACAGGTGCCAGCTTGGGCATGTTCGTGTTGCTGCGGGCTGGTGTGGCAACAGGATGTGTTGTGTGTGAGTCATTCGTTTTGTTGATGTTGTCCCAAATGTCCGAGAAGCAATCAGTGGTTCCACGCATGAAGATCTTGTCAGCGATTGGATCCTGGATGTCTTGTTTTGTGAAGTGGGTTTGTCGACAAAGATCTTCATAGATGTCGTCCAATGCACCTTCAGAGGTGGGGCTTGTCGGAAGCACTGGGTTGCTCAATCCCTTCCGAGTACGGAGTTCAAGCAAAGCTTCCATAGCTTCTTGGGTGACATGTGTTCGAGCCACATAATCACGCTTGCATGTTGGCACTGGAATCGATCTGGTCGTGATGCCATCGGGGGGGCTGCTTGGCACTGAAAAATATGGAGAATGACCAGGTTCCGGCGTGTCCAACGGGACCCGTGCAAGTTGAGGTGGTGGAGGTGGCAATGCTACTGCCTTGGGAACCTGTGATGGTGCTGGAGCATGGGATAACACAGGTGCTGGGCTGGTCCTCTTCGCTGGGGGTGGCATGGGTGAGTGGTTGCCACCAGAGGTCGGAGGTGGTGTGACAACCACGTTGTGTCCAGGCACAGGTGACCAAACAGTCGGACAAGGCTTTGCTTTCACAGGAGTTGTCTCATCTTCCGCTGGAAGATGCATGGCCCGTTTCAGGGTCGAGACTTGAGATGGGTCTGGCTTCACAGGTCGTTGGGGTGGGCTCTTGATAGCTGTCTTTGCTACCACAGGTTGCATGTCAGAAGTCCTGGACTCTGGCATTGTGGCTGGTGCATCTGCTGGTCGAGCTTTCTTGGCATTGGGTTCTTGTTTCAGGGCTGATGCAGGCATTGCCGGTGGGGAAAACGCCTTGGGCCCAGGAAGGCAACCACCTGGGTAATAAGGAACATGTGGAGGCAAAGGCACGGACGCCTTGGGTGGCGGAATCTTGGGATGAGATGGTTGCACAGGCGATGGAGTCAAAGAGAGACTGGTCCCAAGTGATGATGAAGAGGGACCCCTGCTTGGCAAAGATGTCCTCATTGTATGTCGTGGGTGTATGTACGTACATGTGATAAAGACAAATTCATATGAACTCATGTGAAATATAGGATGCTTCAAAGACACGTGCGCAAAGAAGTCGGAAGCGATCGCGGACTGAAAGCGCAGGAACTCACCTGGGAGTCCTCCGGTGTTGTAAGCAAAATGTAATGCAATGTCCAACCACCAAATCCATCATAACATATGCACACAAAAGCACAAGTACATCCTCGGCTTCTCGTTTCACAGCCAACGCCAGTTCACTGCCACAGTACATCTGTGTGCCCTGCACATGCACATCCACACTAAACTCATGATTGGTATGGTTCACTGGTTTCAACACCGTCTTGCCTGTGAATCAGGCGATTGCACCGTGGGCTGCGTCACAGGAGGCGCCGGTGTGGCCTGTTCCTGTGCACGTGATGGATGAATAGAAGACACATGGAGACACCATGAACATGTTTAGATGTCCTCTGTCTTTGCTGGAAATCTGGATAGGAACTTGGTCTTTGCTGCTGATGAGATAGGCCCATATGCGACCCCCTCCTGCAAATCCAAAATAGATAGATAGATAGATAGCTTGATATTATATAGTATATCCAGATAGCTTATAATCATGTAGTCATTCTGAGATAGTAGACTTCACACAGTCCTCCATCTCCGGTGATCGCGGCATCCCACGGAGTCCGAGTGTAGTAAGCAATTCAAACCCCAAATGTCTGCGTTTCCGGGAAACCCACAAAAGCTAACCGACGCACAACCAATCCGATCCGATGACGCGCCAAACCACAAAACCTATCCGATGCCTATCTGACGGTCGGGGCGTCAGTTACGTAGCGTTTTGAGGGACCATCAGATACATCCGACGCCCAACCGACGCTATCCGACGGAGATTTTGGGGTGTATCCGACGGAGACTCTATCCGACGGAGATCCCACCTGACCCTATCCGACGGCCACCCAACGAGACCCTCTCGACAGGAATCCTATCCGACGATATCCGACGGAACCCTATCCGACAGTGAACATGCACCTGCACCATCCTAGCTGACATAATCATATCTGACTGCAGGGCACTATGTCCTCATGAAGATCTACAAGATCCTATCCGACGAACATCGACGTGGTTCCTATTTGACGAACTTTGCATTTGTACGGGACCCTTGGATTGCATGTTTATTACTGCATCACCACCTCTATGGACAGCTCTTCGATTCACAACCACATGTTTTGACAGTCAGGTGTACGGACCGATTCAATGTGGAAACACCAATTGTCCTATAGTCGTACAATCGCCCCCCAAGTGAACTCGTTGGATCCACATATACCAAGGAAAACAACATTCATGTTAAGAAAATCCACATTCTGCAGGGGTGTGGATCTAAAGGACATGCTAAACATCCCAGTGTGGATGAAGTTTCATACGAAGGTTGTTGATGAATGTACATTCAAGTTCACATGAACCTGGGTGAACCATACCACATTTCCCAAGTATCTCATGCCATGCCCTATGAAAACATTTTCCCACTTCTTGATCTATTGCTAGAGCTGCAGTTGACCATGTAATCAAACACAACTTGCTACGAACCAAGTTAACATTGTTAATTTTGAAATGGTCGGTCAACTTTGATGCTTGCATGCTGGAGCAGATGTGTCCCTTGCTCAACACACCTGCAAACGCCACATAGGTGGCAATTGAATCAGTTAGTAAA